CTAACCTTAAATGATGAAGGATTGGTTGACGCATGATCATCAGGTGATACCAACTTATGTGTTTTAATAAGTAGGTATAGGACGGGACATGTTGGTCTATCGATTTTAAAGTGCGAAATAACCGATGATTTTAAACCCGCAGCCTTTGCCACGTTGACCCATTGGTTGTTTAGTTTTCGGTATTGACTTTTATATTCCTTTTCAGAGGATGGGCGATAGAGAGTAGCATCACTAAGATGTTCCTCTGTTATCTCAACATCCAGCTGGCGAGGGATAACCACGAACTCTCCCCCCTTATCACTAACAGACAATCTTATTGTTTTCGAGTTTATTAATTCTCTAATTTCCCGCTTGCCACATTTTTGTGCGGCTGTAAGGTTAGAGATAAACTTTCTATCGCGGTAGTGATCAAGGGTCTTGAGAACGCCGTCCGAAAACGCGCGGAATTTATATATAAAACGACTATAATCAGCTGTTCTAAACTTCCTCATTGGAAGTCACGAAAAAGCGGTGGGTTTTTCGAGAAGTTGTTGATCGTGTAGTTACCAAAGAGTCTTTCGTCTTTGTGTAAGTGTTATTGAAGCGTTTGGCCTAGTAGATTGTATATCAGTATATCCTTCCAGGCTCTGAAGAAGGCGATACTGCCGAAACGTCAGCTAGCGTTGTATTGTATTGTGTTTTTATGGAAGTAAATGTATGCTGTTTAAAAACCTCGCGATTGCTGAACAAGAAAACGACACATTCATATTAATGTTTAACCTTTATTTACTACTTGTTATCTTATTTCATGGCAGACTTATGTAAAATGCAACTATAAAGATGTAAGATAAAATACTGATGTATGAACTAAACTCGGAACCCCTGGTGAGCTTCGAAAGAAGTTCGAAGTGCCGAAGATTACCCTTTCCGGTGGCTAACGTGTTATCCGCTGCACTAACGAAGCTCTCGATTTGGTTTCTCTCGGCCGTTTTTGTACCACAACGGTGCCATCAGCAATCACTAATCAGCAGGACTGGTCCGAGGACCATAAATCGGGATTCATTCCAGTTTAGCTAGAGCTGTAGTTCGAATCACAATGTTCAACTAATATCTACTATCCGTCATTCTTCATGGCGGACTATTATGTGAAATATAACCTCAATGATGCCATTAAGGCAAAAAACTGCCTACGCGAAAGGCAGAGCAAGTGCTGCGGTGCAGTGGATAGCACGTGGAACCCCGGATGAGGTAGTCACGGGTTCGAAGCTAGCCTGGAGTTCTGCTCATATCTCGGTACCATTGCGGTTGTATTTCACATCATTCCCTGAGATAAAAAACCGATGGCCAATAGATGAGAGTTGAACATTGTGATTCAAGCTAAATCTTAGTATTTTCTACGCAGTGAAGTGCTAAGTTTCAACAGACAACGAATCTCTTGCAAGCATTTTCAGAGAAGGAGTTTAGCTGTTGAAATTGCACTTCATATCACTGTGAATTTCCTGACGACGCTTCTATTCTGTGTAGTCTCGCCGGTTTTAAGGAGTTTTTGTAGACGAGGTATTTTCTGCAAAATTAGCAAACTTATCCTAAAACGAACCAGTCTTGATTCACCATTGAGATAGCTTGTTTCATTATGAAAAGGTGATAGGCTACAGGAGTAACCCGCACCATTTCCTTCTATTAGTCATCCCCATCGACATCGCCCAGTTACTAGAAAAGTATATCCTCAATGAAGAGAGCTGACCCAGAATGGGAACTTAAATATGGGAAAGCAGTTAACCATGTGATGACAATGAGGTAAACTCATTAAGGTTTCTTGAACCCTTTCCAACAAAATCATGTACTCTTCGAACATTTCCAACTTTTCAAGTAATGACGATTGTTTCTTGGCAGAGATATTGGGAACGAGATAGAAAAAGAACGATTTCACATAAGAGCAGCAAGGAAGAATCGCCTTTCTTCACATCATAATTCAATTTTGAGCAAAAACTCAAAGAAGTTGTAATCCATCGGGGGGAGGGGAGAGGGCGGGGCCTACTTTCTATTCAGGTTAATCTAAAATCTATGCGGTAATCTTAGTTCTTCTTCTTTTCCCACTCACTTCATTACGCCCATTGTCTGTTATCAGTTCTAAACATTAATAAATGGATAATAACCCAACCTGGTGACGTCACTACAGATTGTCCATTTATGGCCGTACTGTAGGCAGGAACTGTGTGCAATCGGTAACCAAAACACAATCTGACGTCATGATTCTATCGTTATTCTTTCGTATAGTGCTTCTTCTTATTACTATTATTATAGTTATCGTTGTTACTATTATTATTACTGTTGTTGTTATCGTAATTGTTATTGTTAACGAAGCGCTCGCATGGTGTGGTGGTGAACGCCTTAGCCTCCGGAAAGGTGATAGCGTGTTCGGTCCCCATCGCAGACACCAGTGGCCCGGAGTTTTGCAAATATCACAGCATCATTATGGTTATTGTTGTTGTTCCGTCTTTCTTTCATTATGATCCGACATCACATCTGCTGTGCGGATCTCCGCGTGTTGTTTCGGCTGTTGCTTGAGGATTTCATATTCTTTATGTGTTATGGAATGCTGGTCGAGTCGGTTGCAATCTTGGAGATAACCGAGCTCACGCGTTCTCACGTGGATTGGAGGGTAGCGTTAGGGAGTGGGTCGAACCAGCACCTTGCTTGTTAATGGCTGTATCATTGTTATCACTTCCGCTACTTCCCCTTCCTCCACATTATTATTGCTAATCTATAGTCGCTATATTAATAACGTCCACGAGATATACTAGCATAGTTTTTTTTTTAAGCTTATCAAGAAAGAATACATATTGATTAATCACACCGAGGTTTAGGGAAGGTCGGTTTCGAAATATTACTACGCTTTGTGCTAGCTGATAATACACCGACCTCTGCACGATGTGCGCAATGATGTATGTCCGGAAGAAATACAAGTTGTTACCACCGGACATTGTCATTATATATCCACCATCAGCATCGTGTATAAAAGGGCATCACTGAGTGAGGATGCCTCATTCGAGAAGATGGCTCGCTGAGGAAGATCTGGCTCGACAGGAAGGCGAAGACGCAACGTCGAGGCGAACAACAAGCATGGACCATCGACTCGGATCACCGGCTCTGAGGAAGACGAAGACGTCGAAACGTTAGCCGAAAATAAATATATTTATCAACCTCGTGTAAGCTTATCAAGAAAGAATACATATTGATTAATCACACCGAGGTTTAGGGAAGGTCGGTTTCGAAATATTACTACGCTTTGTGCTAGCTGATAATACACCGACCTCTGCACGATGTGCGCAATGATGTATGTCCGGAAGAAATACAAGTTGTTACCACCGGACATTGTCATTATATATCCACCATCAGCATCGTGTATAAAAGGGCATCACTGAGTGAGGATGCCTCANACAGGAAGGCGAAGACGCAACGTCGAGGCGAACAACAAGCATGGACCATCGACTCGGATCACCGGCTCTGAGGAAGACGAAGACGTCGAAACGTTAGCCGAAAATAAATATATTTATCAACCTCGTGTAAGCTTATCAAGAAAGAATACATATTGATTAATCACACCGAGGTTTAGGGAAGGTCGGTTTCGAAATATTACTACGCTTTGTGCTAGCTGATAATACACCGACCTCTGCACGATGTGCGCAATGATGTATGTCCGGAAGAAATACAAGTTGTTACCACCGGACATTGTCATTATATATCCACCATCAGCATCGTGTATAAAAGGGCATCACTGAGTGAGGATGCCTCATTCGAGAAGATGGCTCGCTGAGGAAGATCTGGCTCGACAGGAAGGCGAAGACGCAACGTCGAGGCGAACAACAAGCATGGACCATCGACTCGGATCACCGGCTCTGAGGAAGACGAAGACGTCGAAACGTTAGCCGAAAATAAATATATTTATCAACCTCGTGTAAGCTTATCAAGAAAGAATACATACTAGCATAGTGTTCGTTTGGGATAAAGATTGTTGATGGCGAGAACTGGCTCAAAGTTGGGCTTTTCCATAGTTTATCACTGTTCGTAAATACTTGTCTTTCCTTATTGAGGCACCACCACTTATGAAAAACGAGTTGTCAGAATTGCCTGACTTCAAATTTTTGCATAAGGGAAATTTAAAAGAAAAATCAGAAGGACTAATTTTCTGTCACCTGCTAAACCGGGAAGCAGTTACGCAGCAGTTTTGACACCTACCTGGTCTCCGCGAGGGTGGTTTTGATCTTAGATCCAGCATTCCTTCGGTATTCTCCAGGTTATTTCTTGGGATATGCAGGTGAAAATTATAAAATTTAGTGCAAACAAGTTAAGGTCATCACCGTCCGAGTTTTATTTCACCGTAGGCATGGTTCGGCACGTTGGTTTCCTTTCCGTACGGGAAGGGTGGGTGTGGCGTAGTGGCCGGAGGCGCCATGCAACACATGGGATCGATCTCGCACGCTAATCCCACCAAACTCTCCATCTCTCCGGGGTGGGCAGATTGGTACGAGACTTGTGTGGGAGGATAGCACCACTGACTCGATACGTCCGTAGGTCAACGCGAGTTATTGCAACGGCCAGATATGCATTCAATCACCTCCAAACGATGCTTAATGAAGTCGAATGCATGGCCCACCCCTCAAGATTTATCAACCCCGAGAGCTTTGTCTTCTATCCTTTAAGGAAAGAGTATTATGTTGTTCCAGTTTTTTAATTGAAAGCATCATGATAACCCACGTAATGTTCTTGAAGACGTGTTAGCTCCACGTAACCCATATCATGTTTCAAAGCATGTGAGGATTTCTCCGATCTGAAATCCTATCCAATTGATTTGATCTCAAGTTGACCACATATTTTCCAGATCACATAAAATCTTAAAATTAGATAAAAATAAGTCTTTTATATTCGTAGTCTCTCATCTTTTAAGAAGCTGAACCATTCATATATTAACGAGCTGTGGAACAATTCGTAATATGCGATTTTCTCTTAGGACGAATTAGATGAAGGATAGGACAGCGCGGTTCCAGAGTACTTTTGGAGAGTTACCAACAGTTCGAGTGTTTTGTCCGGGTAGAGTCAACCTGATAGGTTAGTGGACTAAGTGCGTTTGGTCTTATTTTTTCTGCGTACACGTTTAAATACACGGAAGAGACATCTGACTTTTCCTGAACGGAACGCTGCGTTGGTCAGTCTGCGGACTGCATCGCACATTCTTACGTGGAGCGGCTTCGATATCTGGAAAACGATCTTCATATTTCTGTTGAACCGGACTAAACATCTTCTGTAGGTATAATCGTATGAATACGTGCGCAGATATATTTTCCATGTATACAAACGGACTCGGTCAAATGAACAGAAAAAGGCGCTCCAAGGTCGCGTGCCATAAATCCTTCGTATACTCCAGCTGAAATCCATGAGCTGCCTATGTTTACTGTTTCATGGAAAACCCTGTAACTTATGAGACTAATACAAAGAGCTTGCTGGTCCTGGTGCTTACTGAGCTGGTCAAGTGCCCGACAAAGAGATATAAGAGTTCGTTGGTTTTACTCGACTCATGGTTCGATTAACAGGATTATAGGTCATTTCTAACAATACGAAACCCTTGTAGACTTTTCTGCTAATGGAATTTTGTAGGAGAGCATATTGATTATCATGGTTATGGTGTTTTACCGATAGCAATCAAGGATGGCACAGAGATTTTGGCTGCTCCAAATGGCAGAAAGGAAATCCGCATCACAAACGCGGACAACCAGTATCAGTAAGTTTTGCTCTTGTTTTACTAGGAGTACTGTAGATGGATTTCTCGGTAATGCTTCTTGTTTTGATATTGCGAGAAAAAGTTCGCTAAGGGAGTGCGTTGTCGAGCTCCCTTCAGTTTGGGTTGGTGCTTGTCCACCGAAATGGTTCGACTATATTCTTTGTGGTTGGAAAGTTATACTAAACAAATTGGGAGTTGAACAAATAGGATTCGACTTGCTTGTACATGGTAAGAACAGATAGTTCCCTGTTTTTTATATTTTAGTGATACCCAAAACTAAGTTGTATGGATGCCTAAACCAATAGATAATAGGACTTTAAAGATCTTTTTCCATTGTTGGTGCATAACCCGACTAAGATGCTTTGTTAACAACCAGATTACAGAATTTTCTTCTTCGAGGTTCCATCCCACCTTCATCCGGTCTGTCAAGCAGCTCGTCATTGGTGTGTGCGGCTGCACTCACCACTTGGATGATTCACACAGGCAAAATTTTCGAGGGCATTACACGGTGTGTGCTTAAACGGTAAACGGTTATTGTTGTGGCATTGTTACTGCTACCACAATGATACCGAGATATTTGCAGAACTGCGGGCCGCAGGTGCCTGCGGTGGGAAGCTAACTGGTTTCATTTCCGATTTGGACTCCACAGATCAATCCCGTATTGCTGTTGGCAGTGCTAGATAGAAAACTAGCTGAGAGAAAGGTGATACGAAGGACCCGCATGATGTGATGGTCAACGCGCTAGCCCCCGCAAAGGGTAATAGCGTGTTCGATCCCTACCGCAGACACCTACGGTCGGAAGTTTTGCAAATATCTCAGCATCATTGTAGTTGTATCACACAAAATATTCTGCCCTGAAAAATTGTAGCAGGCAGTAAATTAAAAGTGAATATAGCTTCTGCTTTTTTTCTGAATCTCTTCACATACCTTTGAAAATTACATTTTATCAGTGAGGAGCTAGCCGATTTATGCGCAGTTGGGGAACGCTTCATCGGCACTCAAGGAGGAGGAATGGACCAAGCTGTCCAGGTATATATTTGCGTGTACTGTGAGCTTTTAAAGAAAGCGCATACCTTGGGGAGCATTTTCATTTCCTTCTAGATTTTGGCCGTGGAAGGTGGTGCGGTCCGAATCGACTTTGAACCTCTACGGTCTCGTGTTATTCCTCTGCCCAATAATGCTTCCTTTACGATTCTGCATTGTGGAGATACACTCAACAAGGAAGTTGCATTTATTGTCGCCGAAAATTCTTTCATTTATTGTTAGGTTACAGGCGGCCACTTCAGACTACAATGAACGAGTTGTAGAGGGGAGACTGGCTGCCAAGGTATAATTTATGCACCGCTGTCTTTCGTATTTTTCTCAGTAGTTTAAGTTACCCTTTTAAGCGATCTGAGAGTTATGAGTGTTCCTATCTTTTAGCGTAATTGTGCGAGCGGGCTTCGGCATATTCTCCATTTTTCGGAGTTTTGTTGGTTTAGCCATTGTATTTCCCTGGAGTTCCGAGGTCAGCCTGGTCAAAGTCTACCCCAGGTAGTCATCACCACCACACGCAGTCGCCGCCCTTGTGGTTCAGAGGGAGATTTGCCGTATGCGACTAGTTTGATACCAGGATGGTGGTGAATGCTGGTATTGATTTACTCTTGGGTGGGCTTCCTAAAGGAAATGCCGGACTTGATCTCAACTTGAGAGGCCTTGCCGGAGGATTAACCCCGGCTGTACATCGCCAATTCGATACCCAGGAACACCTCCCAGTAACGACGAGGCGGTAAACCGTTTTGAGGTAGCTTAATTGTACACTATATAATTGCGCTGAGCACACAAAGATGTATTCTCCTGTGTTGTCCGTATCTACCTATTTTTTCCTCAAATTATTATTTGTAAGATATAGATATTCATGTGTTTCCTCTAATGTTGTCTACTCTTTTTTGCTTCTCTTTAGTTTCTTCTGAAGGTCTTCGGTAAAACGTCGATGTCTCAATCTTGGCGATTGAAGGACGTTCAGGTACATAGTTGGTTAACAGCAACTGCTTAAAGATCACAGTCTAGTAACCTAAATAGGTGTAGATAAAATGAATATAATGGACGACGTTCAGTCTCCTTTTACATTACTATTTGCTCAAAAAAAATACGAACAAAATTACTATTAGCGTTCTCGTTTTATCTATGTGCAATCTTAAGTATTTAAGCCGTGATTCGATAATTTAAGGAAATACTTGGTAAGTCACTCAAGGAAATGTTGACTGTGTGTGACGAACTGCCTGAAGAAGCGACGCGAGAGCGACTGGAAGAGGTTTTAGGAAAAGAAGTAGTTATGGCATGCCTCAGTTCGAATACAGAGCATTGTAAGTTTGAGCTTCATTCAGTTGCTTCGGAATTGTCAAGTAAAAAAAGAAGTGTTGTTGGCTTTTGTGTCTAACAAAATTCCTTGTTCCTGCCAAAATTCCGATATTTAAAATTTCTTCGTGGAAAGAAAACCAGTACAAAGTGGTTTACCGAGCGCATCAAAATGAGACTTAGATAATTAAGTGAGATCGTTCAAACTACGCGCAAGAGCTCATCATGTCTACAGTGAGGCCCTTCGAGTTGATCTGTTCGAGCAGGCATGCAGGAAGGGAGATCTTTCCAGTATGGGGAGATTGATGTATGACAGTCATGAGAGCTGCAGAAAGGTGAGCACAATTTTAACTTTTAAGAGGATAATGGTTTTATCCGCACACTTTTTGAAATTCAGCCTGTTGTAATCACTTGTATGCCTTCAAGTTTAGGAAGTAGAGTTTTGTGACTATCAGTCAAAGTTAGGAAGTCGTTATTAGCATATATGCGAGTACTCTTACTTGTGTTTATTAATATAGAGGCGACCACGCCTAATGCGACGTGCTGGTCGCTTCTGACCAAGTTTAATTTTTGACCCTGGGAGGTTTGTATTAGAAATTTTGCCCGAAGATGAAGAGTTATTTTGAACCATTAAAGTGTTGAAAATAACTTCAAGGATCGCATCGTTTACTACTTCTGTATTAGTAGCCCATCGATTAGAAAAGTATGGCAAAAATTTTTGTGCAGAAAAAAAGAGGAATTTTACGCACTGAAATCAATGCGTATAGTCGCCTATGTATTAAAGTAATATTAGTAGTGATTTGTAAGCTGTGGTTGAGTCCCCACATATGTCGCTATCATTATGGTTTCTGTATTTCAGAACTACGAGTGTAGTTGTGCATCACTTGACAAGTTGGTTGAGGATTGCCGCAGTGCTGGCGCTTATGGCGCACGCCTTACAGGTGCTGGTTGGGGTGGGTGCGCTGTCGCACTTGTCAATGCCTCCCAGCCTATTGATCTGGGTGGAAAAGTGCTCTTCCTTAGTGAACCTTCAGCTGGTATTGCTGCAAATTTCCTTTAAAACGTAGTATCTGATCGAACTGTTCTCAATCATGATACCCACTTTTCCTGGTTTTCATCCACTTTTTTTCTATCCTGAAATATAATACCGTATCTTGTATGATGATCCAACGATGTGTTCGTTTAACTTCTAAAGAACATGGCCATGAATACATTTCCTTTCAACAAACCGCTTCCATGGAGGACCGAGCTAATTAACGATCTTTTGCAGAAGGCAAGTTGTACAGGACAGTTCAGGAGACAATATGTGTGCTGCTTGTCTTCGATATTGCCACGTTGAGGTTTTGTGGTTTCTTCAGTATGAGCAACAGACTTTGGTAGTCGAACCTTTATATGACCATACAAAAATAATAACATGAGAAGAATAACAAATGTAGAAGGTTTATACTGGATAAAGAAAGGCTTTAATGCATCAGTGACCAGAGCAGTGTGCAAATAATGTAGTGCGAAGGTAATAAGGTTTATGTAAATGATTAGTTGACTGGATCTTACTGCATGAAGTAAGGAAACAAGAATAAGGTGAAAACTATAATAACATTGTGAAAGTGGATGGAAGGATGACTAGTAATGCTGTCTATGTTCCTCATGGGGTTGGTGGAGTCAGTGCGATGAAGCTTTAGAGTTCCTCAGTTAGAGCAGTCAGATGTGGGGCGAATGGAATCCAGTATTAAACTGGACCACATGTATAGTTTCGAAAGAAAGTACATTAGGTAGCGCTGTTAGAAAAGGTGTTTGCACCTTCCTAAATTATTTCTACATTTGGTGTAAAGACAAAATTGCGCATAGAACAAGAGAGTATTCTCTAGGAAGGAGTACAAAAGCAGTTTCTATGTAACCACAATGTTGCTTAGATATTTGCAAAACTCCGGACCGCTGGTGTCTACGGTTGGGAGCGAACATGCTATTACCCTTTCCGGGGACTAATTGGTTCACCACCAGACCATGCGAGTCTTTCGTTTTGACTGTCTATCATCCGTCTTATTGACCTATTGGCGCTATAAGCAATCACCTGTCAACGGGATTGATCTGGGGAGCACAGATTGGCGTGAACCTAGTCGAGCTGGAGCTATCTCTATATAGATAACGGAAATTGAAAAGCTATCAAGAGAACTGAATACAAGTGGAAAACATGGAAATCAAAAGTATAGAGGGCTCTTAGAGCAATAAAGAGGGAAGTAGGACGGAAAGAGAATGGATGTGGAGGCCAACATTTTGAGGTAAATCTTCCCTAGAGGATTTTCTTTCCATGCGTTTAGGTTATAACAGCTCTAGATGGCATGTGGTTTTTTTCTCTTAATCGTGTTGATATAGAAGATTTGGAACGTTTTGACCACTGAAGTGCCCAAAAGCCAGGATGAGTGCTGTCATCTAATGGTAGTAGCGAGGGCATCGATCTATCGAGCTGGTCCTGAAGACCTCAAACCGTTTCTCAGTGCTCAAAAAACGGCACCATAGGTTGGGAAGTTAGATTTTCGTACTAGAAAAATATTCTCTTACGGTAAAAGTTGCGCAGGATAAGATTATATCTTTGTAAAGCGTGAAATAAAGCGTTAGAATTTGATAATGTGATAAGAGGATTGTGAATTCCTATGCGATTCAATGAGCGCGTGTGTGCAGGCACCCTGCAATATAAATGAGTTCGGTCCGCTTACCGCCAGTCATTGTAAAGGATAGGTATGCATTCAATCACCTACAACGACGCTTAATGAAGTCGGATGCATGGTGCGTCTCATAGATTGGTCAAAGCCGAGAACTTTATTCTTTATCCTTTTATACAGTTCGAAGTTACCTTGTCAAACAGTTTTAGGGTGTCATTTTACCCTTTGAGATTTGAGATAGTTTCTGTATAATGTTTGATATCCCAGAACGTCCTTCTTATATGTTTTAAAATGTCTTATTGATCTTTCACATTAAACTACGTCGAAATGTTGTGTTGAAAGGCACCGTTTTGAAAACGAAGTGAAAAGGAGCAATAAAAGCCGCTTCACAGCTGGCCTAACAACGACATGTGGTGGCTTACCGATGTATTAAGTCAGTTTTTTTATCTTCTCCAGAGAATTATGGTGTCATTAAGGCCGAAGTACGGGATTGGACTAACAACGATGTCCGTTCAATTTCCATGGCAAGGTATTATGTGAAATACAACCACAATTATGGTAAAATATTTGCAGAACCCAAACCTCATACCAGATTTAAACCTACGACTACCCTTTGCAAGGACTCCCGTGTTACACACTTCACTACTGAGATATCCAGGCCGTCACTGTCTACGCAGTTGACGAATAGAATATGGCTACGACTACAATTCGTCTTCTGGTGAGAAAATGGCATTCATCAAGCGTAACAATAAGAGCGGAGCAGCATGGAGCTGTTGTTGTTGTATTGTGCTTGTCCGACTGAAGTCCGAGCATCTTATGAAGATAAATTTTGGAAAGCTTACAACATAACACTAGTTTTTTGGCCAGTTTGATCAAAAGTTTTGCTTAGTACTCGACTTTAGGTAGAAAGCAGGAAACAGAGCCAGTTAATTGAATTGAAAAGCCCTCTGGAGCAAATATAGGTATCTTTGCTCGTTTCTGGTTTTTTGGAACTACAAGTCATTCTTTTTTGCTGAGACCTAAATAAGGACCTGAAAAATTTAGCAATTAAGAATTGGCGAAAATTCATTAATTTAGCATTTTCCTGTTTGGATCGTCACAATGACTTTCGTAGATGAAAACGCACTAGTGCGGGCTCTGTCACTTCCCGGATAAACTCACCTAGAATCTAATGGACATGGTGTTTGTTCTCAGCTCAGATCTTTAACAGGAATTGTTCTGAATAGGAAGTGACTCCAATCAACTGCAAATATTGGAATTCTGTGTTATTTCTGAAGCAGCTTCGTCCTCATCAATTTATTCTGTTATTCTTCAAACAATGTGAGGTATCTCCAAAGTAAAGTTTAGGGTACAGGAAGTTGATAAATAAAGGCAGTAAGTAAGAGCTTAACATTGTGATTTCGACAATAGCCTCAGCTTAACGGGGTTCATTGCCTATTTGGGCTCCTCAGATCAAAGCCATTAACGGGTGATTGCTGATGGAGCCAATCGATCGATTGTGGTTGTACCACACATAGACTCTTACTGTGAAAAATTGCAATATGTAGTAAATAAAAAGTTAACATTGTTGATAAATTGACAAAAAGTCCAGAAGACCGATAGGGAACTCAAGACGATGCAAGTGTTTTCAACGGTGACCTACTAGGGTGGAAATGATTGTAGTGCACTCCAGTAAGGTATATTAGTAGCTGGATAGGATCAATGGATTACTAAAAGATAACCGTGGACTTTACTATTCACCGAAGAGCCTGCCACTATGAATGAGAACCTCAGAAGCGATGTAAAATCTGTTGTGGGATAAATGTTTGCTGAAAGTCTGCCATCCATACACTCGAGTAATGCAGACAAGTTACCTAATTCTTCTTCTAAATAATTTGCGTAGAGGAAGCAAATCGCATTTATCACTTGTCGAAATCAAGAGCGCATTAGAGACCAACAAATTCCTAGTGTAATGGCGTGTTGTGCTCATCTATTATTCAACCGAGTATTTCGGAATAGTTGAAATAACCCGGCAAAAAGTATTGATTTAGTTAGCGATTCGAATACAGAAATGGTTCCGTTGAGTAGAAATCATTGAGTTTAATTCGAAACCCCTTCCTTTGTCCTCCGTTCCCTGTTGTCGACACTTCTCATTTGCCCGATCGATTAAAGACAACTAAACTTAGTGAACCGGAAAATTTCATGAAGACAACCAAATGGTTGAACTTCGCCTGTCGCGATATTTGTTTCCTGTTCTGCACCCTTAAAATGTGTTCTTATAAGTCCAGTGAACTGCCACCAATCATTATTTTATATGAAACTTAGAATAGAACTGTTATTGGCAAATACTGTTCCCAAAAACAGCTTTCAAAATCTGAAATACACAAAACGATTGCTTGAATGAGTGCCGTCATAATCGTTACATCACCGATATATATCGCAGGTAATGGATGTCTATGCTCTCAACGGACCCTCATCGTATAGTTGTCGGAATAGCCTTTCAGTTCCAGAGCAGTGGTTCAGACAGTTAAGAATTGTACTGTATTTGTAAAACTATTCAGTTTATACATGAGCACATTTAAACGGCAATCACTTTCGATTTCTCTTAGATTTTCAATGATTCGTTATCACATCTACTGTGCCGATCGCAGCACTTCTTGTATTCGATTCGTTTTCCTCGATTTCATTGTCTATAATGATCCTCGAATGATTCACATCTGGGTTTTGCTGCTACTTGAGGATCCTGTCTTCCTTCTGTGATTGTCGTAGAATGTTACTTTAGCCGATTCTCTTTGTATTCGTTATGATAGCCGAGCCAAGATGCTTCCACCAGGGCTGGAGGACAACGTTGAGGAGTCGAACTGTGTCGAACTAGAACATTGCTTCCTGATCGATGGAATCAATAACCACCGTGCTACTCCCCAATGGCCATCATTAGTTTTAGCATCTCAGAGCTCAAGCTTTCAATTTGCTCGAGTCGTTCACTTGTTTTCAGAGTTTGTTTATTCATGAAACGTCCACGTATGCGCATATGACGGTACTCTATCGCATAGTTTTTGGTTATACGAAAATTCCATGAATCGATATCGTCCGTTTTCAGTTTTAAACTTTTAATGATTTATATACTATCGCAACCACAAAAATACGGAGCTATGAGCAAAACCCAGAGCCTCATATAGGTTTCGATTCCATGACTATCTTTTCTGTGGGTTCACATGCTATGCACTCCATCAATCGAAGTCCTTGCATCAACTTGGTGATAGCACGCTTAGAGTAAAAGACCGACTGAAAGAAAGGCAAAGCAAGGGACTCGATTTCTGTGATGGATTAGACACGAGCCCATGAAAAGAATAATGGCACGTGTGATGCGCTCGTGAGGTTCCGAGTTGTGCTCACATCTCAGTATGATCGTGGCTGTATTTCA